CCTTCGACGACCTCAGTCCCCCGAGCTTGCCTCCCGCCGAGAGTTCCGGTCGCCATCGCCACGACGCCCGGCTTCGCCGATGCACCGACCCCGACGTGAAAGCCTGTCACCCCTCGCTCCTCGCCGGGGAAACTAGGAGCAGCAACCCCTGGAGGTGGAGTTGCCGAAGACGACAGACGTAAAGAGCCTCCAAGAACAACAGAGCGCTCCCACTCTTCCGACGCCACGCATCGCAACGAAGCTTCTGCATCGGTGTCCAACAACCTAAACGTTGTTATTGACGGCTACGACGCATCACCACTCGTGAACACCGGAGCAGACTACTCAGTCTTGAGTGGGAGGCTCTCCCGCCGTCTTCGAAAAGTCACGACGCCGTGGGATGGACCTCAAATACGAACCGTTGGAGGGCAGCTCATCACGCTGGTTGGGAGATGCACTGCTCGCGTCGAGATCCACGGTGAGACGTGCCCTGTCAAGTTCGTCGTTTTGCAAGACTGTTCGAGGGACGTTATCCTGGGAATGGACTTTCTCTGCGAGTATGGCGCCGTCATCGACCTCGGAGCAAACCGGCTGACGCTACGAAAGCCTGCTCCACCACAGGAGGACCCCAAAGCGACGTCATCCGCGGTACGAGTCCTCGCAAACCACGTGAACCTACCACCGCGGTCAAGTGTTTTTGTACCCGTCGGCGTCGATGAGACTTTCCTCGGCGACGTTTTGCTCAAAGGAAGCCTCCAGTTGCTTCTAGGAAGAGGGATCGGCATCGCAAGAGGCGTCACGGAGCTCCAAGACGGACACACTCTCGTACTCGTAACGAACTTCCGACAGGAGGGCCAGCACCTTACGAAAGGCACCGCCGTGGGTCACGCCGAGGAACTCCCGGACTCAGTCGCAATCGCCGGAATACCAAAAGACCTCTCTTCGTGGCCAGCCAAGACAAACGCGGCCATCGCAGTTTGACATCGACCCAACCCTGCCTACCCCGCACCTCCACCAAAATGTCACGGGTGGTGACCAAAAGAACAATATATAAACAGGAAGAAATAAACGTTTAATGTGGCGACCCGACAGCACCGACGGTGACGATGACGCCCGTTTTCTTTAAGCACTTACGGATACCGACATGGGAGCACTTCAACGAGACGACCCTGAACTTCGCGCCGTGATCGACCACCTCGGAGGTCAAGGAAGTTCAGTTCCGCGAGCCTTGGCCCGAGACCTGCCAAGCTTCGTTCTGCGGCGAGGCGTGCTCTTCAAGAAGAACTTCGGAACGAGCAACCCTACCTGGCTGCTGGTTGTTCCGGACAGCCTGCGAGAGGAAATCTTTCAAGCATGCCATGACGACCCGACGGCTGGACACCTTGGATAGAGCAGGGCGCTCGCCCGGATTCGTGACAAGTACTACTGGCCGAGACTCCCGAAAACAGTCCACCTGTACACACGGTCATGCCATGAGTGCCAACGACGTAAGAGGCCTCCGACGAAGCCAGCAGGACTCCTACAGCCGATACCTGCCCCGACTACGCCCTTCCAGCAGATCGGAATGGATTTACTTGGGCCGTTCCCAACATCGACGCAAGAAAATCGGTGGATTATCGCCGCGACCGATTATCTTACACGATGCGCCGAGACGAAAGTCCTGCCATCGGGAACAGCGGTCTAAGTCGCCAAGTTTTTCGTCGAATCCATTCTCCTTCGACACGGCGCACTTGATGTGCTGATCACAGATCGAGGGTCATCTATCCTGGCACAGCTGACTAGAGAGGTTCTTCGGCTCAGTCACAGCAGCCATCGACGAAACACCGCTTATCATCCGCAGACCAATGGGCTAACGGAGCGGATCAACAAAACGATCGCCGACATGATATCCATGTACGTTGACGTAGAGTGTTGACGTACGTTATATTTGCATACAACACAGCGGTTCAAGAAACCACAGGAATGGCGCCGTTTCAGCTGGTGCACTGCCGGACAGTTACCACAATGCTCGACGCCATGCTGCCTCACGTGCCAACGATGGCTACGACGAAGCTCAAAATATCTCTGAACTGCTGATCACAGATCGCGGATCATCCTTCATGGCACAGCGGACCCAAGAAGTTATTCGGCTCAGTCATACCAGCCATCAACGAACAACCGCTTATCACCCGCAGAACAACGGGCTAACGGAGCGGCTCAACAAGACCATCGCCGACATGATCTCCATGTACGTCGACGTAGAGCACAAGACATGGGACGAGGTGTTGCCGTACGTCACGTTTGCGTACAACACAGCGGCTCAAGAAACCACGTGAATGACACCGTTCCAACTGGTGCACGGCCGGACGGTTACCACAATGCTTGACGCCATGCTGCCTCACGTGCCAGCCGACGATGGCTACGACGAAGCTCAAGTGATCTCCCAGCGCGCGGAGGAAGCTCGTCAGCTGGCAAGAATCAAGATTCAAGACCAATAGCGAGTCGACGCTCGCCGGTATAACCTTCGTCACCGAGACGTCCACTTTCAACCCGGAGACCGGGTATAGGTTTGGACAGCAATACGGCGCCGCGGTCTCAGCGAGAAGCTTCTGAAACGCTATTTCGGACCGTACAAGATCATCCGACGCCTCGGCGATCTGAACTACGAAGTTCTACCCGACGGAACGCGCCCATCTGCAAGACGTCAGCCGCGACCCGAGGTGGTGCTCATCGTCCGGCTGAAGCCGTATTACGAACTATAGAGCTTTCCACTCTCGTCGACGAGTGAACTGTGAACTGTGAACTGCGGCTCGCAATTCTGCTGTCCTTTTGTTTTTCGTTTGTTTTCCGTTTGTGCTGCATCGGGACGATGCACTTTTAAAGGGGGGTATAATGCCGCGCGCTGTGCCTGGAAATCAACGCTCGGTCACGGAGCTCTAGAACGTTCTCGTTTATTCTTGTTCCAGACGTAACTTCCATCCTTTATTCCTGCTTTCTTGTTCTAGAAAGTGCGTGTTCATTCTCGCCCCGAGCGTGCTACGCTCGAACCTTCTCCGCCGAATCTTCGGGATAGTGTCTCACTCTTGATAAGAGGCCGCCCGCAACCTTGTCGAGTCAGTTTTCGCCTCAGCGTTCGATCGTGCTGCTTCGCCGCCTTCGACGCCCGCGACGCTCTGTTATTATCATTCTTTTTCCTTTTATTTTCGGACACAAGTTCGCCCCATTAAACGTTCAGTTTACTCGGTCATTCACCGCCTCGTCACTTGTCATCCGTGACAATATCAGCAAATCAAGGTACACAAGCACTTGGTCAAAGTGTAACCAATATATTTTCTCATCACACTTGGAACCAAAACTTGGCAGGTTGAAGGAGGATGCTCTATTTTTTTAAGTTGTACAACTTCCTACATGTCCCGGCTGATGTGTATGTCCTTCTCCTACCATTGTTACCACATGCTGATGCTCTCCACTGTGTATGGTGATGTAGGCCAAGTTGACGGTAACTTATAGACCATTTGGTGTCCTTCACTGCCGAAATGTATGTATGTATGTATGTATTTCTGGCGGCAATTGCCCTTTTTAACGAGCGTCTATAAAATAGACATGCCATTAAAGAAAAAATACATTATCAGGTATTTTTTACAAATTCGAACAGTCGGTTTTGAAATAATTTATTGTATGCATTAAAGATGCTTAAAAATAAAGGTGACTGCAATTTTTGTTTTGAATAATGTTGGCGTTACGTATATTACAAAAACTGCCAGTTTACTGATTACTTTTCTTACATTGTTGGGTCTACTATCAGACGGCACAGCCGGAGATTGTGTGAATAGTTGACCCACATGTAACCAGTCTTGTACACGTTACTAAAAAAAGTAATGGATTACAATTACTATTACTCTTGGCTAAAAAGTATTCGATTAGATTACTTGATTACTCAACGGCAAAAGTAATTGGGTATTAATTAAAAAAAGTAATCGTTACTTTTTGGATTACTTTATTGTGTGAAGACACATCTTTAGCGCTCATACCAATGAGCTCCTTCTAACCTATATTTCACATTTGCACAAGTATTGAAGAAGAAAAACTGGCTCCCTCTTCGTGGTCGTTGCACCTTCACAACGGGGACACAAGCATAGAATTCGTTTGAAGACGTTTAATGATTTGGTCATTCGCCAGTGTGTATGTGTGTGTGTGTGGGGGGGGGGGGGGGGAGCGGAGGGGGTTCTAGATCTTGTTAAGCTTGAGCAAGGGTTGTCGCTCAATGTTTGCGTCGCTCATTTTATTATTGACATGTGGATGAGCTCGCATGTTATAAAAAAGAGCAGCAGCTCCAGGATTTTAAACGGATCATGTGTAATATCCATTAGCGGAAGAGATTGCCCCGACCACTTCTCGACTCGAAACATTGCTTGTCACAAACACCACGTAGGGGAAATGGGGAAATATTTCAACTGCCTTTGTTATATTTTCCATCCGCTTTAGGCATTCTTCGGTTGTGGTTCTCCTACGGGCTGCGAGTGGGTAGCCTAAGCAGGATTTTTTTATTTTTTTTTATTTCTGTGTGTGTGTGCGTGAGGGGGCAGGTTTGAGCAAAGGACTCAGAAAGCTACATTCTGTTTCCTCAAACTTCGCCCTGAATGGCCTTTGTCACGCACTGTGGTTTCCCTGGGGCTTCCCACTCCCAGTCCCAGCTCGAAAAAAAAAACGGACATTCCACAGAAACCGTACATAGAAAGAGATTGACCTCGTTTCCTACAGCTCCGCAAAAATCTTCCTTTTTTCCGTTCGAAAAAAAAAGTAAATTTTATTTTTGTCATTTCATAAAAAAAGGCGTGTGCCGGGAGGGGGGGGGGGGGGTCTCGTGGACAAATTGTAACGGTTACAAGTAATTTTATTACTTCAAAAAGTAATCAGATTACTCTTGTGATTACTGCCTAATAAAAGTAATCAAATGACTACAAAATTACTCCAAAAAGTAATCGATTACAAGTAATTTGATTACTTGTAATGCGTACGGTTCAAGTCTGCATGTAACTCACCTGAACGAAGGCCTTCCGCCAACGTGGCAGAGATTAACAGCAGAGCGAGGAGTCCCGACATGTCTTTTGAGTGCTCACCATCAACCGCGACTTCCCTTAACTTAGGTACACTTGCCTTGGTATGGTAATGTTCAGTGCTACTGCCGCCAGTATATATATGTTCTTAAACATATTTTGATGGGGATCAATCAACACGTGATCATGTGGATGAGGCGTCATTTGTCACTGTGATTTGTGACATTTCTCAAGATTCTAGAGCGGCTTGTCAGCTCAGAGACATTCTTGCCTCCCTAATAGCTTAGGCAGTCGTTGCTGCGTGACAGATTGTTTGCAGACCTTTGCATTGCGTCATCTAGGTATTTTTGACGTCGCTGGCTTCCAACGTATGAAGATAATCTCAGTTGTGTAATTTCCTATAAACCCCGTTTTCACGCACAGTAACCTCGCTCTCCCCCGAAGGTTCGCCTACCGTCGTCCGCATCGCGATATTTTTAGAGAGGAAAGTCTTAATCACGATATTTTATTCTAGTCAGCCTTTGCCCCTTCATAAACTAGTCTTAAATAGCAGCCTTTTGCTGGTATTTGAGACGATGGATGGTGGCCACGGGGAGAACAATGGGAGGGGATATCTTTATGATGGAGTTCTGCAAATGGAGGGGATCGATCTACTAAGTTTAAGGGCTTCAAACTAACAAACATTGAATTCAAATTACCTTAAAAATCAGGCTTCAGGCGACTTTGTCTGAGAAAAATCAAGGAGGTTATCAATGACTATTTTTTTTATTCCCACTGAAAAATATTATTTATTAATTTGCATCTTACATGCATGTTAGATTTATTTGTTTTATTTTACTCGTGTAGAAAATGCTGTACAGTGCTACTTTGATGTAGCTCGATAAAAAATGTAGGAACGCAGCCCACTGCTTTACTACGGCCATCGCACTGGAGAATTTACAAGAAAACTGCGAAGATAAAAGTAGCGCGTATTCTCCTCCCTGAACTTTTTAATAATTTTAATGGGTGATTTTGCTTTCGCATGTGTAGTTTTGAATTAATACATAATTACGCAGTTCTTTTCGCAAAGAATAGGATGCATTCGACAATCGCTACTGCTTCGAGCTTACGCCCCAAATTATTAAGATGATGATTGCCAATCTTTTGTTATAACACCTTAATAAGGGAAGAATACATCCACACTTTAGGAATGTATTTAAGTTTTCACTCTGAATACATCCATTCACCACGAGCACTTAAAATATAATATTAAAGAAAACTTAGTTAATATGGTACGAAATAAAATTCACCTCAATACGTTACTGTTGCCTGAGCAAAACTTCGAATCTTACTGTGTAACAAACTCAGCAAGATAAACAAATTCGCTTACACTGCTCTACGTTTAAACTTAGTCAAAATAGCTTTCGCAGGTTTTTGTCTTGTTCAAAACTTGAGAGTGGTGCTTTATAAAGCCCCGCCCCCCAAAACGAATATTTTAACATAGCTTTAAATTATTCATTACTGTTCCACATGCTATATAGTGCCTACCCAGGTAGCACGCCAGAGAAATGCCCAACTTGGGAAAACGTCTGGCAAACGTAAGGGCCCAAGTTTGGCCCACTTAGGTTTGGCTCCATGGCTTACATCTGTTTTAAAGTACGTTGCCTAACTATAGCCCTATGTGGGCGATCCTAGGACATAATGAAGTTTGGCTGTTCTCTGGCCCGCCACATTTGTTCCAAAGTGCCATACTTGAGCCATAACTGCCGAAGTAAATCGTAATTTGGAGATTCGGGGCATGGCAAGGGTTGGCTATTCTCTGGCTAGCCACTAAAGTGCTAAAAGTGCCAAAGACACGTGTCGTCCGGTTTTAGTTCTCTATGACATTCTCCTTTAACACCGTATCTTAACCAGCACGCTCCATTTCAACGAGAAAGCCCAGAGGCCCAGAGGTTTGAAGTTTCTCTGGTGTGCCGCAGAAGTACCCTTGTACGCGCTTCAGAGGAAATTTAAATTTAGAAAGGGTTATAAACACGATGGTCAGATCCGATCATCTTCGTTGCCAAGCAGCACGGTAGTGCTTGGCAGTTGTGTAGTGCCAGTACCGGTTGAAAGTCGGTTCCAATATCCCTCAAATGTCTAGTTTTGCACCACCATTCGATATCCTGCAGAAATTGCCTTACAGTCGTTTTGCACCACTTTAGTGTTCGCGCTATATGATGCAAATAATCTGCGATTCGTCTGCTCCGTATTGACCGGACGTCGTGCAAGTCTGTGTTGTATAGAATGTTGGATATTATTTGTCACATATCAATAACACACATAGACCAACAAACTTTTTGGAACGCTGGCAGTGGCTTATTAAATCACTATCATTACACACAGCTTATTCTCGACATATTTACAAAGGTCATACTTCTGTGTGAAATGAAGAGCAGATTATAAAATAGAATTAAGACTGATATCAAGCCAAGCAAAACTAAAAAATTAAAATAAAAAAAAAAAACTGCAAAGATTGATTGGAATGCAGAACTACTGTCAGAAGCATGCTTACAGTGCACTTACTAATAAAAGCGATATCATGTAATCCTCGATAGATGCATACTTCGATTCAAGCCGCCCAAAAACACAGTCAAGAAAGAAGGTTGCGCACATTCAACTGCCGTCTTGTCCTCGGCGAGGAGCAGTTTTTGTCGAAACACGTCTAACATAGCACAAGAAATCCACGCACTCCGGCGAGAAAAATGGTCACAGTATAAAATTGGCGTAGACGTATTCCGGCCGTTTACAACCAAAAAGCACGGCCGCGTCTGCAAACGCACGAAAGCAACAGAACACTGGAGAGCAGATTTCGGGAACGGGACCTACTTTGCCCGCCTATTTCTATAACTTGTCAAACGGCGCAAACAGCCCCAGAGATTCCATCAACGTGACAGAGAGAGTCACGTGACAAATTATTGTCCAAGCGTTTTTGTACTACGCGTCCTACGGAGTGAGGTCACGCGTTTCGCTCCACACTGCTGATTTGCTTAATGCGGCCGTCGCGCTCGCTGACAGCCAGACGAAGACACAAAAGCAGGGGGGGGGGGGGGGGTGGGGAGGCTTAGCAAAAGGCGAGGTCGAAGGGGCACGAGTAATGCAGCTAAGCTTCCTCTGCATTTTTGACTGAAAATGAAGGCATTTTATACTTCGAGTCGGAGGCTTGTAATGTCAGCTTTGGTTAGGGCGGGAGGCGGCGGGGGGGGGGGGGGGGGGGATTTGAAGAGGAGAGAAGAACTGTGAGGGAAAGGTGGGCCCAGGTTGATACTGTCGAATCCAAAAAATAACACAGGCTCAACATGGATTTCAGAAAAAAGTATGCAGAACTTGCACTGATTGAGTTAAAAGATAAAATCGTTGAAAATATTGAAACTAACTTGTATACACTTGGTTTGTTCCTAGGCTTACAAAAACCTTTTGATACTGTGCAACACAATATTCTGCTAGGAAAGCTTCAAACTTTCGGAGTTCGAGGAGTCGAATTAAAACTAATCAAATCCTGTCTTACAAATTGCTCTCAGTATGTTCATACCAATAATCAATCATCTAGTAAAATTAAAATACAAAACGGGGTTCCCCGGTGTTCTCTCCCGGGGCCTCTGTTGTTCCTTGTAGTTTTATATCTTAATGATATAACAAATATACCAGGCCCTCCTCAGTTAATATGGAATGCAGACGATATAAATGTATGTTTCTCTGGCTTTACAAAGGAGAGTTTAGAAAATTCTGCAAATGCCTACCTCGTGAACCTATCAAATTGGCTACAAATCAATTGTTTAAGTTTAACTACAAGTAAAACTAAGTATGTAATTTTTAAACCAGCAAATAAATGAGATTACAGCTCTATCAATATAACGTTTGACGGCACCATATTAGAGCAAGTAAGAGATCAACAATTTTCGGGTGTATGGTTTTCTGAGGACCTATCGTGGAATACTCATGTCAGTAAACTTAAAACTAAATTATCTCGAGTTACTGGCACCTTATATAAAATTCAAAACTTAGTACCTACCTGGTTAAATCAAACGTTATACTATTCTTGATTTTACTCTAGAATTAGTTACGGTATATTGGTCTGGGGAACAACAACAGCTACGAACTACAATAGAATAATTATATTACAAAAGAGAAAACTACGTATATGTGGAAACTATAGAGGCGATAAAAGAAACTTGAGCACACAGGCACTTTTCGTAAAAAATGATATGCTCAAGGCTGACAGGTTTACTACTTATACTGCTACAATGGATACTTAAGAACGAACTGCACACCACTCCAACAAATAGCGTGAGGGCATATACGCTTCGAGATTCAAAGATAAAAAAGCCCACCATAAGAACCAATTATGGCCGACAAACTTACATTTTCAAATAATTAAAATTCTAACCAATACACATATGAACATAGACCCTAACACAACTTTCTATAAATTGAAAAGTAAATGCAGAACACTTATGGATGGTATTGCTATTACCTTTTCAGTGTGAAGTTTTCTTTTCCATTTCTACTTTCTGAACTTACCTTATCCGTGATCTCTATGTGTATAAATTTAAACCAATCTTTTTTCTTGGTCAAAGTTTTATATTAGTGACCTGCCTGAATGTACTTTTTTTTCTTTTTCTTTTTTTGTGTACATCATGCATTACTTTGCTGATGTCCAACGTTATTACGTTATTAATGTGATGTGTCAGGCTAGTGGTTTTACTGTTTCAGCTGATTGCCTGTGTATAATCTAATCTTCACTCTGCTTTGTTGCCTTGTTGTTTTGTTTTCATTTATGGTGCTCTTTGCTTGCCTTGTGCGATCCTGTGATTGCGTCTTCCAGAGTGTGTATTAGCTCTGCTTTGTTGCTTTGTTGTAGCATATGACACTCTTACCTTATCAGCCACGGCTGAACTGTTGGGGGGCAGGGGCTCCATCAGGTACTTGTGCCTTTATCTCTGCCCGCCATGCGGAAACATATTCACAACACAAAACAAATAAGAAAAAATGCTTCAAATTAACCTAAAAAAAATCGTCCCCGCCAAG